TCAGAATTGAAAAAATAAAGATCTTTCATGATAATGGAAGCATAAACCAAGAGAATGCATTACTAAGCCAGCATCAGAGACGATATTTATGGGAATCCTACACCAGAAGAGGAAGAAAGATAATAACAAGCATGATCTCACTACAGTAGTAGACACACAAATGAGAAATAGGAAGGATTCAGACATTATTAATGAAGAAAATAATCAAATATTTAAAATGAGTAAGACAGGAAGCAACAAACAGAATGTTCAAAAGAATTTTTAAAAAATCAACAAAATGACAAAAACAAGTATATACCTTTCAATAATAACCTTGAATGTAAATGGTCTTAATTCTTCATTTAAAAGATGCAGACTGGCTGATTGGATTAAAAGGCAAGACCCAACAATATGTTGCATGCAATAAATTTACCTGACCAGCAAAGACATATGCAGACTGAAAGTGAATGGATGGAAAATTATTCTATGTAAATGGACCCTGAAAGCAAGCTGGAGTAATTATGCTCATATCTGACAAAACAGACTTCAAGCCAAAACCATCCTGAAGCATCATAAACTCTTACTTACATAATGATAAATGGAATAATCCATCAAGAAGATATGATTATAAATAAATAGGCACTAAATATCAGAGCACCAACTTTTGTAAAACAAACGTTGCTGAACATAAAGGAAGAGATAGGCCCTAATACAATATGGTGGGTAACATCAATACCCCACTCTCACTGACCCCCTCTAGTCTCCCCCCCCCAAAATTAACAAAGAAACATCAGAGTAAAATTAGACTATATATTAAGAATTAGTAGACACCTAAAGAACATTCCATCACACCACTCCAAACACAATATGTCTTTTCATCATCACATGGAACTTTCTCTAAAATACATCACATGTTATGCCATCGAGTAATTCTTGGGAAATTCAAATTTGAATATGAAGCACTTTGTCTCATGCTCTTCCTCCCTATTCTGTTCTTAGTTGCTCTCCTTATATCAAAGATGACATTTGGCATTTGTTTTTTAGGGATTGGCTAGCTTCACTTAGCATAATCTGCTCTAGTGCCATCCATTTCCCTGCAAATTCCATGATTTTGTCATTTTTTAGTGCAGAGTAATACTCCATTGTGTATAAATGCCACATTTTTTTTTATCCATTCATCTATTGAAGGGCATCTAGGTTGGTTCCACAGTCTAGCTATTGTGAATTGTGCTGCTATGAACATCGATGTAGCAGTATCCCTATAGTACGCTCTTTCAAGGTCTTCAGGGAATAGTCCGAGAAGGGCAATAGCTGGGTCAAATGCTGGTTCCATTCCCAGTTTTCCCAGGAATCTCCATACTGCTTTCCAAATTGGCCGCACCAATTTGCAGTCCCACCAGCAATGTACAAGTGTACCCTTTTCCCCACATCCTCGCCAGCACTTGTTGTTGTTTGACTTCATAATGGCTGCCAATCTTACTGGAGTGAGATGGTATCTTAGGGTGGTTTTGATTTGCATTTCTCTGACTGCTAGAGATGGTGAGCATTTTTTCATGTACTTATTGATTGATTGTATGTCCTCCTCTGAGAAGTGTCTGTTCAGGTCCTTGGCCCATTTGTTGACTGGGTTATTTGTTATCTTATTGTTTAATTTTTTGAGTTCTTTGTATACTCTGGATATTAGGGCTCTATCTGAGGTGTGAGGAGTAAAAATTTGTTCCTATGATGTAGACTCCCTATTTACTTCTCTTATTGTTTCTCTTGCTGAGAAAAACCTTTTTAGTTTGAGTAAGTCCTATTTGTTGATTCTAGTTATTAACTCTTGTGCTATGGCTGTCCTATTAAGGAATTTGGAGCCTGACCCCATAATATGTAGATCAGAGCCAAGAGCATGAGAAGAAGATCACCATTCAACAGGGTCGAGAGGGGGAAGGGAAAGAGAGAGAGACGGGAAATTGCATGGTAAATGAAGGAGACCCTCAATGTTATACAAAATTACATATAAAAGGAAGTGAGGGGAAAGGGGGAAAAAAACAAGAGAGAGAAATGAATTACAGTAGATGGGGTAGATAGAGAAGATGGGAGGAGAGGGGAGGGGAGGGGAGGGGGACAGTAGAGGATAGGAAAGGCAGCAGAATACAACAGACACTAGTATGGCAGTATGTAAAAAAAGTGGATGTGGAACCGATGTGAATCTGCAATATGTATACGGGGTAAAAATGGAAATTCATAATCTGATTGAATCAAATGTATGAAATATGATATGTCAAGAGCTTTGTAATGTTTTGAACAACTAATAATAAAAAAAAAAAGAAAAAAGAATATGAAGCACTTTGAAATTACTTCACTCAGAACTTGCTTCCTCACCTGTGAAGGGACTGTATTTTGTTAAAGCCACAAAACCTAAAGCACTGAACAGGAACCCAGGAGACTTGGAGCTGAATCTTGCTCTTTCACTCACAGCTGGGAAATTCAATGCTGTGTTTCAGTATCATCATCTATGTGACACTGGGCAAATCACTTGACCTCTGTTATGCCCTAATTTCCTCACCCGGAAAAGACAGTAATAAAAGTGTTGACATCTTAGTATTATTGGAAAGAGTTAAAAGAGATTATGATTATAAATAGTTTAGAACAATACTCAGCTCATACTAAGAATGTGTCTTGTTGTAATTCCTATATTATCTCCCTTTACAAAGCTATACTGAGAACCAAATGACATAATGAAATTTTATTTATTTTTTAACCACTATGTAGCAAATTACCACCAATTTAGCAGCTTAAAACAACACCTGTTTATTTTCTCTTGGTTTCTATATGTCAGGAAATCTAGGCATGGCTTAGCTGGATTCTCTGCTCAGGGATTCAGAGGGCTGACATCATGTTATCTGAGTTGTGTGTGTGTGTGTGCGTGTGTTTTCTTTCCTAGACCTTAGACTCTTTTCCCAGCCCCATGTGGCTGTTGGAAGAATTCGTGTCTTTGCAGGACTAAGGTACACATCTCTAACTAGGTGTCAGCCTGGTATTCCTCTCAGCAATAAGAGGCCACCTGCTGTTCCTTGCATGTGGTCCTGTCCATCATATGTCAGTCACTCTCTTCCTACTGACTTCCAATATCTTTTCACCAGATGAAGAAAACTTCCTTCTTTTGGAGAGCTTGCCTGGTCTGTTCACCGAGGATAATTTCCCAGTTTGTCACAAAATATAACCCGATCACAGAATGATACCTCATCAGGTTCACAGGGGAAGAGACCAAATGAGGACCAGGTCATTGACAGTTGTTCAGAATTCTCCCTTCCACAAATGTGAACATGACGTGAAAATTAAAAGTAACATACAAATATAAAATGAGCATTTTCATGAGTAATTTTCACTGTTGTCATAATCATGATGTGAACAAATTCTATCTCATACAACACTGTTCTTATTTTCAGTGGTTTAAATAGGATGCAAAGATTATCCCAACCCATCTGATTATTATGCAGCTCAGAGCTTAGTATTGGTTTCATAACTCCTCAAATTCCTGTGATCATTGGCTGAGATATTTATTTCCTGCATATCCTGCTCTGGTCCTTGACTAATGAGCCATGGCTTTCTCCCAAAATAAAGTTCCATGGAGTAATTTCTTACTGTTATTTTCACCATTCCATAAAACGCTCAACAATTACCACCCTTTCATGTGTACCAATACAGAAATTTCCTGAGGTCTGCTTTTACTTGATCTTAAAACAAACTAAGGAAAATATCTTAATGATATTAACCAGGAAGTAAGAGGACAGTCTTAGAGATGCTTATTCATAAGCAACAGGAGGGAGCTCAAAGGACTCACTTAGTTATGGATTTGTCATTTAACCAGCACTCACAAGGACCTCATGTATTCTAAAAAATCTCAGTAAAGTAATAAAAGAGTCTATATGGAAAAGTTGAAATTCTTACACAAAGTGTTTATATTTTTTAAAAGAGTGGGAAAATTTAACCTCTAAATCCAAACAAGAAATTTCTGGTATTTTGTTAACAAGAGTGCCTTCAGGACAGGAATGAATTCCATATTCTCACAGAGATTAGTAAAACTTTAATACATGGAATTGGGTAGTATTGCACAAATTATATCTGTGTTCATATAATTTCTTTTTTTTTTAATTTTTTATTTTTTTATTGGTTGTTCACAACATTACAAAGTTCTTGACATATCATATTTCATACATTAGATTGAAGTGGGTTATGAACTCCCAATTTTACCCCAAATGCAGACTGCAGAATCACATCGGTTATACATCCACAATTTTACATAATGCCCAATTAGTAATTGTTGTATTCTGCTACCTTTCCTATCCCCTACTATCCCCCCTCCCCTCCCCTCCCTTCTTCTCTCTCTACCCCATCTACTGTAATTCATTACTCTCCTTGTTTATTTTCCCATTCCCCTCACAACCTCTTATATGTAATTTTGTATAGCAATGAGAGTCTCCCTTCATTTCCATGCAATTTCCCTTTTCCATATAATTTCTTATTTTGTTGGTAACATGATCTTGGATGAGTGACTCTTCCTCAGTGGGACTTAGTTTCTGCCTCTTTAACATGGGATGTTTGAGGATTAAGTGAAATACCCCATGCTAAGCTCTTAGAACAATGTCTTTACACAGTGAGTTTTTAGCAAATTATGATCTTTGTTCTTATTGCTTTGATCATGTATTTCAATCGTCATACCACATGACTCCAAGTTTGGAATGTAGTAAATGCTCAGAAAATATTACTTTCTTCACTCTCCTTAAACATGTTTGTTGAGTTGAACTGGATCCATCAATGAGGGTGTTTTGAACATTAGTAATTAACAGGTTAAAGAGGTTATTGTTTAATTTTAATTTTATATGTTTTTTCTTCCTCTTTTCCTCCCTGGTTGCCTGCCTGACTTCCTTTCCTCCTTCCTTGCTTCTTTCTTTGTCTTTCTCCTTCCTTTTATTTTATTTTATCCCCCCCCATCTTTCTTTTCTTTCTCTCTCTTTTTTTTTTTCCCCAAGCAGATATTATTTTAAATTTCCGAACAACTTATGTCAGCAAATCTGGCCAAGTTATTTTCGAAGCAAGATCAATTTGCATCCACTACGTCACAACCTGGTTCATCATTGATTTAATTGCTGCCCTGCCCTTCGATCTCCTGTACGCTTTCAACGTCACAGTGGTGAGTCAAGAGCTTGATTCCACACAGCGTTTAAGCTTGCTTTCACTCCTGTTCTTACTTTTTCACATGTTCAGGTGTAAAATGTTTATAGCAATTTGTGTTTCCTGGGATTTGTGCCCTCAATAAAACTGCCAGGGTACCCAATACCATGCAGGGTACATTCTCCACTTGAGGAAGTTACTTCCTTGGAAATCTATATTACCTGTTTTTATTCATACAAATACCCAGAACCCAGAATATTTGAAAAATTATCATAAATATGGGCTCAATCAACAAATCCTTTGATAAGGAAACCATCTGTAGGGATATAACCATTACTTTATATTATCTAAAGAGATATTTTCTTCCAAAAATTTGGTGGAAAGTTTGAAGAATTCTTTCCCCTTTTATGATCTTTAACTCCCTATGATTTCATTTTTCCTTGGCAAAACCAATGCAAGACCAATTAATATAGAGAGGAATGTTGATATTAAAAAATTAAAAATTCAGTCATTTCTTAGAAATTCTTATAAAAATGTTGGATGGAGTAGAAATCTGAATGACACAATGATTGACAAAAATTTGAGAATTTTCTTGAATTTGTATTAATACTCATAAATTTTCCTCTTTCTTCCTCTAACCCCCTTATCCTTATATCTCCTTACAAGAAGGTATGCCCCACATACAATAGTAGCTACTTCTACTATTTGATGATGGATATCCTTAAAACTTTCAAACACTTCTTTATAAACGGAGAGACTTTTAAGGAGGTCATTTTGAATCATAAGTGCAGTTTTCTGCTTAACAACTTCAGCATGCAAAAATTTTCTTTTAACATTATTCAAAGTAAATAAATCTCCCAGTCAGTTAACTGTCTTTCGTAGAAAACATATCCTTCATTAAAAATTTAAAGGTATAGCTTTCAAAATGAAACAAAGGGATGGATGTTTCAAATATAGTCATGATTGACTTCAAAATGAATGTGAAACTGTAATCCTATTTAGCATACTTTTTTTTTTTCCTTTTTAAATTGCCTGTACAATATTGTTTTTACTCCTTTCTTTTTTCCCAAGTTGGAAGGTTGAGAGTGTCGACATGGTTAAAAGGTTTATAACATAACTGAAAGGAAAGTTGGCAGGAGAAATCTTGTGTATTAATATCAATCAGCGCTACATCAAACTGTTATCTGGGCTTTTTAAAGTGCTTTTGAAGATTGAATTTGACTAGATAAGTGTACTATAATGAAAGTGTAATGACTTAAAACAGGCTTTTGGAAAGCTGCAAAAGAAGTATATAATTCACAAAATGTTTAAAAAAAAAACCTTTCTGAATTCTCCTGGCAAATTGTTAAGTAAATGTTATTTAATAGAATTCTGTTTTAAAATTATTTTGCTGCTTTGCTACTAAATACCAATAAATTTTTCAGGTTCCGTTTTTATTTGGGTACTGCACAAATAGGAAAATCTTAAATGTGTGCATATGGTATGCAATTATTCATAAATTATTAAGAATTTATAGAATAGAATGTATAGCATGTGTTTTTATATAATTAACATACACATTACTTAAACTAACGTGGATAAAGGATTTCTACAAGTCAAATTCTCATAGTTTGATGAATGTTAAATACTTCACTTTCACTGGGCTTTTCACTGTACTCAGCTCCCTTTTTTATTAGAGCATTATAATTAGACAGACTAATTGGGTTCATTTTGACAAATCATACCTGCAAGGAATTTGATTTTGACTTCCACCCCCCACTTTCCTCCCCTCTGCCCTCCCTCTATTTCTCCTCCTCAACACTACTCAACTTCCTTTCTTCTACTTACGCATGAAGGTGAAATTCCCTCAGGTACCTTTATATGTGAATATGATATGATTTTGTTAAATTCATTCCATATTTCTTCCCCTCTCCCTTCCTTTCTCCCTTTCATTCTCCTACATCTATTCCACTGGTCTTGCCTATATCTTTATGAAACCTGATCGCTCCCACACACTGCTTTCTTTCCCTTTTCTGGTTCTAATTTCCACACATGAAAGAAAACATTCAATCCTTGATTTTCTGAGTTTGGGTTATTTTCACTTAGCATGATTTTCTCCATTTCCATTCATCACCAGCAAATGCCATTATTTCATTGTTCTTTATGGCTGAGTAAAACTCCGTTGTGTATCTATATAACACATTTTCTTCATCCATTTATTTATTGGCAGGCACCTGAGTTACTTTCATCATTTGGTTATTGTGGATTGTGTTGCTATAAACATTGAAGTGGCTGTATTACTATTACTATAGTATACTGATTTTAGATATTTTGGATTACACCAAGGAGTGGGATAGGTGGGTCATATGCTGGTTCCATTCCTTGGGTTTTTTTTTTTTTTTTGGATACTTTCCTTTTTTAAAAAATTTCTTTCATACATGTCAATAGTAGAATGCATTACATTCATAATTATCCATTCACAGCACAATTTTTTATAACTCTGCATATAAAGTATGTTCACGCCAAATTATACCATTATACATGAGCTCTCTTGCTGATTTTTTTTTTGCATTACAATTCTTAATACACCTTTATACCACAATATCTCTGTTTGTATATAAGGTATGTTGACACCAAATTCACATTTTCACACATGTATTTTGTATAATGATGAGGATCTCCTTCCACCATCCATGCTATTCCCCTTCTCCTTTCTTTTCCCTTCCACCCTTATTCGATTTCTAGAGGTAATCTTCGTCCCATGCTCTCCCTCCCTACCCCACTTGGAGAGGGGAGGGGGATAAAGATCGGGACCATTCCTTGTTTTTTAAGGGATCTTCATACTGCTTTCCAGAGTGATTGCATCAGCCTGCAGTCCCACTAACAACGTACCTTTTCTCCCACATCCCCACCAGCATTTATTATTATTCATGTTCTTGAAACTTGCCATTCTAAATGGAGTGAGATGAAATTTTAGTGTTGTTTTGATTTGCATTTCCTTAATTGCTAAAGATGTTGAAATTTTTTAATATATGTTTTTTGGCCATTTGTGTTTCTTCTTTTGAAAATTTTGTTAATGTTTTTGCCATTTATTGCTTGGGCTATTTGTTATTTTGGAGTTGAGTTTTTTATTTCTTTTTATATTCTGGATATATAATCCTTTGTCAGGAATTGCTGGCAAACATTTTCTCCCATTCCGTAAGCTCTCTCTTCATTCTCTTATTCATTTCCTTTGCTGCACAGAGGCCTTTCAGTTTGATGGCATACCACTTACTATTCTTGGTTTTATTCTTGAAGTTCAGGTATGTTGCCGAGGAAGTCAGTAGCTGCACCTATGTGATGGAGTATTGACCTTATGTTTTCTTCAAGCTGGTGCAAGTTTTCTCATCTAATTCCTAAGTCTTTGATCCATTTTGATTTGAGTTTTATGCAGGGTAAAAGATAGGGATCTAAATTCATTCTTCTACATATAGATATTCTGTTTGCCCAGCACCATTTGTTTAAAAGGTTACCTTTTCTCCAATATTTATATCTGGCACATTTGTTAGAATGTGGGTCTGTGTCTTTTCTATTTCATTGGTCTGCATCTATTTTGATGCCAATACCATGCTATTTTTGCTATTATAGCTCTGTAGTATAATTTGATGATACCTACTCCCTTGTTTTTCTTATTCAGAATTGACTATTCTGGGTCTCTTTTTTCCCAAATAAATTCAAGGACTGATTTTTATAATTCTGTGAATAATGTCATTGATATTTTGATAGGGTTTGCATTGACTGTCTATATTGCTTTTGGTACTATGGATATTTTGACCATATTAATTCTGCCTGTCTATCCATTTTCTAAAGCCCTCTTCAATTATTTTCTTCAATCGTCTTTAGTTTTTATTGTAGAGATCTTTTATCTCCTTGGTTAGATTAATTCCAAGGTTTTTGTCTGTTTGTTTTTGTTTTTGTTTGAGGTTATTGTAAATGGGATGGTTTTACTGATTTCTTTCTCAGCTGAATTGCTGATGGATTATAGAAAAGTTATTGATTTATGGATGTTGATCTTGTGTACTGCTACTTTGTTAAATTCATTTTATCAGCTCTAGAAGTCTTCTGATGGAATTGTTCGGGGTCTCCTCGCTATAGAATCATGCTATCAGCAAACAGTGATAGTTTGACTTCTTCTTTTCCAATTAGTATTCCTTTAATTTCTTGGCTTTTTTCATCATCATGTCCTGTGAACCTAGCATGACTGCTTTATGAAGAATGAAAAGTGTAGATCAACATCTGTGTCAGTAAGAAATATAAGGAGGATTTATCAATGATTCTTTTCTGCTTTCCACAAGTCTGGACCTATGATCATTTAAAGAACTGATTCATAAGTTTGTTAGCCTCTTCTAATAGATTATGATGAATTCTTTTATTTGAACAGAAAAGTTTGCTCAAGGTATTACATTTTTTCCCAAGAAAACATGTTGTGAGATATGTTATGAATTATGTTGTTATACTGCAAAAACTTATAAAAAGAAAAAAAACAAATAACCATCCAAAAAAATGTCTCTTCCATTAAAAATATTCAGTTAGTGCATCTCCATAGATTTCAATCAAAATGCATTGCTACCATCAAAAAAATGTCATATGCTTTGGTTTTGGCTCTGCCCCTAATTGCTCATGGCAATTGTTTAAATACAGCTCACACATTTATTTATTGAAACTTACTGTGTTTATGTCACCATGAAAGGCAGTATGAGAGATAAAATTATGAACTAGATGTGGAAAAGGTATGAATCCCAGTTTTATCACTTGTCATTGGAGTGCCTTCCTTGGTGAAGTTAACATCAAATTAGGACTAAAATGAAGTATTAACAAGTCCTACATTTTTTGAGCAACCT